AAACGCATGTATAATATGCGGCCCACAATAAGATAAGATACGAATGAATTATTTTGTCCTTTTGGAGCACTTGAAAGCTACTAAAAAGTGCTTAAAAGTAAAACCTATGAAATATGCAAAAAAATAAATAAATAAATAATAACATATGCGCTACCTAAAATGTATGACTTAGATTCCTGACGTTTCGAGCAGTATTTGTATGTTTGACTGTATTATTTTTTTAATCTTTCTAAAATACTATGTAAATGCTAAAAGTCCATAAGGGATCAGCATTGTTTGATCGAAAAATATGATATCGAAAATTCAAAGGATCGAAATGTTATGTAAAAGAATTACATTACGACCGAAACATATATAAGTTAAATGTATAAAAAAAAATTAGTTAAAGTACTATTACGTTATGGATAGGAATCACAATAAAAAATTATCATTTCCATTGAGGTAAATTTGTCAATTTCGATTCATAAATCGTGGACTACACGATTTGCGACCAAATGGCCCGCACCCGTCCATACTTGATGCATCCATCTAATCTGCATATGAATCAGACGTAAACGATGTAGACGGCAGATTTGGATAATAAATTTGTCATATCAAGACCATTAGAAAATTGTTGTGAGGAAATTTCACGTAGTATAATGTGTCTTTTATTGCACTCTTAAATCTTAATTTCTGCAGTGGATATAACTGTTCCCTACCCTCTATCAACTTTGGTTCTATCTTTATATTGTTTATGGAACTTATCCCGTAAAATACGTTTTTGTTGAACTTCTGAAATGAGACTCTCCATGACTGTAGAAGTACATGTACCATACACATTTCAAATGAAATACTAATATTGTAGGATTATTATCCGTCGTCACGGTCGTCGCCGCACCGCACCACAAGATAAAACCAAACTTGTTTGGTTATCAATTTTTTCGTGCGGTGCGGCGCGGGCGATTTTACCGCACCGCATAATTTTGCGGTTGAATTAGGACATCCGTGTTTATTTTACCGAATATGTTTTTTTCCGCAACGCACGCACCGCATCGCCCGGATTCGGTTAGGACATGGCGTAAGTCACGAAGGAATGGCGGATGTATTCGCCGCTGTTAATTGTACGCATGTTTTCACGAAACCGATCGGCGAGTATCTGAGATTTATAATATATATATATATAGTATCCGGTATTCCTGTAATATTTATAATTAAGGCTGTGAATTCAATGCAGCGGAAAACCTTAAAAATGACAAAATGACATTAAAAATCCATAAAAAAAAATGCAATAAAATATGAATTTAAAGGCCCAATATAAAATGCACTTAAAATGGTTTTTAATTTAATTTAATCGGTATTTATTTTGATATTACTGATATTACGGATATCTATATATCGCAAGTCCACAAATCCAAGCAATATTGCCTTATTTTATCGAATCCTTATCTTTGCTCAACCCGTATACAGCTTGTGTAAAATATAAATTTGACGTGTATACAGCCTGTGTAAAACAAAAAAAGTATGCGCGTAAATATGTCAATGACTGATGGAATTTGATTAAAAATACCGACGAATGAACTAAAAAAGAAAATATGACTTAAAAAGTTTAAAAAATGACATTATCATTTAAAAACGTCAACAAATGGAAAACAAAAGTTTCAGAAACGAATTTGTTGTTACATAATTCAAATTATGTACTTAAAAAACTACGTTTCATAATCGGATAAAAAAAAAAATACACTTTACTACAGATGCACACCCCTACAAAGAGTGATCAATCTATCGTAAGACACTCGTTATCTCGGAAATTATTAACTTTTTGTGAAATTTATTTTACAGAAAATTAAAGAAACGCGCAGCTCTATAAATTTATGTTATTTTGGGAGATAAAACCACTACCTACTTTTGGTTTTCAAACGGCAATCCATATTAAAAAATTCCATAAATAGATGGAGTATTGGTTAAAATACATTTTGCTGTTGACATGTTTGATTGCCGTCAATCCGTTGACGAGATATTCCACTATTGAGTTTTGGTCGGGAGAGAGTGGCGGAGCATTATTAACACGCCGCGCGCCGTACCGCCACCCATGTGTTACTTAAATAAGGGTGACGAAAAGTAACACAAATTCGAAAAATTGTAGGGCTGCGTGTTTCGAAAAAACAAATTGCGGAAAAAGTCAATACTTTCCGATTATGACTAGATTTTGTCTTATGGCAGATTGATTGGCCCGTATAGTTTAATACACGAATGGTAATACCGTAGACGAGACGGCACGGAGTTTCCACGGGCCGGCGTGCGTTACACTGCAAACGACGGCGGTGAAAAAATGCGCGGTCTCTAATGCATTCAGGCCCTGGCTGGTGTGGTGAAACCGACGAAAACGCGCGGAAAACGCGCGGCCGTCGACGGTCCCTGTTACACGCGGATCGCCGGCTCGTCTCGCCGCGGCGGTCGTCGAACACGCATAGGCGCAACTGGACCGCCGAATTCGAGGGCGCGAATACCGCAGACGCGACACGGACCTACGGGGGCGACATCGCGATCCCCTATACACGACACACGTAAACAAGAAACCGTACACATTTTATTGGAAATTTTTTTTTTTATTTTTTCGCGAAACGTCTGTCGTGACTTTTCCAACTGCGTTTCTCGTACGCGTCACGTGTCCGCGGGCAATCCGTATTTCGTTCCGTTCGACGATCGCGAAACGCGCGGACGAGATGTCCGGTCCGCACACCGCGAAACGGCCGTGTCATCGGCTAGTTTCGCAGGCGCTCGTTTCAAACACGGGGGTGCCGGAAACCCCGTCCCCCACCTCCCCCCACCCGCAGGTCGCGCCCGCGGTCGTACCGTATCGTACGCGCCCACGCCTCTACGACGGGCGTATAACGGCAACGCCGCGTAGACGCGCGACGACTCGCGGACCTCGCAGGACCGCGCGGCGTGTTTCGCGCGCACCGTTTATTATAATGACGCGTAATAATAATATTACCGTACCCGGCGCGCGCGCTCGGGGTGTATAATACGGACGCAATAATAATAATAACAATAATAATAATAATAATAATAATAATGACAATGATTATCAGCGTCGTGTATAGCGACGCGCGCGGTTCCGCGACCCCGCCGGCCCGCGTCCGCCCGTCGCGGCGGCCCGGAAAAACTACTCGGCGGGGGCGATTATTGTGCCGCCGCCGCCGCCGCGGTATAGTTGCGCCGCCGACTGTGATACTCCACGCGGCGTGCGGTGCCGCGCCGCCGGCAGTAATTATTGCGTGGCCGCGGGGAAAATTTAACGGCTGCGTGAACACCCCGCGGCGGCACGCGATCTCGCGCCAAACAACTCTTTCCCGGCGCCGCGCGCCCGCCCCGGCTACCGGCCCGCGCCGCCGTTTTAATCGAAACCGTAAAATACACACGGGTGTGTTACCTGCCGTACGATAACGCGTACGCGAGTGGCGTTTTATTTTGCACGGATACACGGCGGTATCCTCGCGATAATAATATTGTTATTTACAACGGCGTTCCGTGACATTAACGCGACGCGATTGCCGTCCCCGGTCGGACCGTGCGAGGTCCTAGCGAAACGCCTGCCCGCGGCGTCGTCTACGGTAAGGCGCGTCAGCTGTACTTTTGACGGCGGATAATAACGCGTTACGTACAAACGTGCGATTGATAATATCATAATACGAGTGGAAGAATCGGGGTCGCCCGAGTGCGTCCGGATACGAAAAATTATTATTTTTTTTTCTTTCGTCGTAGCCCGAGTAGGCTAACCGACCTAAACCCCATAAACCGAAATATCGGGTGGTCGGCTTTTACAAAGATATTTATTTATTTATTTATTTTTTTTTTTTGTGCAACTATTCTACCAGAAACCTTGCTCCGATTTTTAGGTGTAGCGACTGTTCCGGAAAGAAATCGGTGTGCGGAGGTACTTTAAAGAGGTGGTTTTTCGATTTTTCCGAGAGTTTTCCAGCAAATGTGAAAACCGGGAAAAACGTAGGAAAAACGGAAAAATCGGTACAACATTATACAAATATTATTAAAGACAATATTGAATGCCCCCCATTTTATTATTTTACCAGAATTCGACCTTTATATTGTTGACAATGCAGAATCGTTTTTCCGTAAGCAATGGTTCATTGTTACCTACAGGAATACATTAAATTACCTATAACAGTAGCTGCACCTGTCCCCGTTATCCTAGGACAGCTTTTTTTTTATTATCTATTATTGATTACATCCGTTTTGGTTGGTCGAGTGATAAAATAGAAAACATAACAATTTTTATAATTTTTCGAAAATTTTGAAAATCACGGCACTCATTCACTAGGTTAGATACTATACGAATACTAACCGTGCTCCGTAGCCTAATTGAGTTTTATTTTTAAAGTCGAAACAAAATGTCGTTTCCTCATCGATCAGATTATCTGTTTTAAAATCGGTATCTAAGACTGCATCGATAAGGCCGCGGTCGCACTCGGACTATGAAAAATGTAAAAATTAAACTAGGAATATCCTCGTAAAAATATAGTGTGTGGAATAACAGAACATTTCGGGGTACGTCGGCGTGTGCGTCGGGTTTCGAATTCGAATTTAGCAGCATTACCTGGTTTCAGTTGTAACGGGCGGATATAGTGTTACGGTGGAAATGCAAGACGTAATTTCACGGTGCGTGATATTTTTCGATGATATGTCATGGGTGTATAATTGTGACGGGAGAACGTCTGTAAGAAGTTAACAGAAAAAGAATATGTCGATGTGAAACAGACACAGAGTTATTGAGTTATATTGGGTATGAGTTTAGAGGAAGGGAACCAGAGGTTGTTCGGGACAAGACGAGTAATGACAACGAGCTTTGACGTAAATAGGCTAGGTCGACAGTTTTAAGTATCTATGTGATCTTTGGAACAAAAGAATGGTGGCTTTGACGAGGACGTGAAACGTAATATTTAGGATTGTCGACTGTGGTTGGATCAAGTGGATCAGCTGTTTTATGTGACGAGAAAATCTCAATGAGGCGAGTTCTACAAGAGTGCGATGACACCTATGCTGAATGGTTTGGAGAACAGAGAATGAATGAAGCGCAGATAAGAATTATTAGGAGGATGAATGGAGTGACGAGATATTATTTAAGAAACAAGTTCAGGTACATTAGATGTATAGGTATAGACATGACTTTGATAGCAGAAAAAATAGAAAATAGACCAAAATGGTTTAGGCGTGTCGTGAGGAGTGAGGAATCGGAAGCAAAGAATGTATTGTTTCCAATACGAAATTCTTCAAGAAATCTCTTATACGACGTTTTCGATCGAAGAAAGACACTTATTCAAAAAGAATCTTCAGAAAATCCTCAGTGAAAATCTGCACTGATTTATAAATAATACAATTTTTTTTAGAGATTAAATGTAAAAAAAAAATAAACAAAGCGAACAATTAAATAAATGCAAAAACACATACTTCAAACATGTAGGCCACTGCTGTAGGTGAGTAGTTGGGGAGGTTACAAAAGGTTACATTGTTTAATTAGTTATACTGTGTGCGTAACGATAAATTATTACAAACGAAAAACGATTTTTCGAACGGAGTAGTATTAGTCCACATGTGAGTAGCACATGGGTAACTAAAAAAAAAAAAAGGACCTACGGGATGAAATGCTGAAAGTTTCGATAAGGGAGCCATAGAAGCCGTGGTGCCCCCTAGACATCAAACTACTAATAAATAATAATTTCTTTCAGAAATCTCTATAGAAGTTCAGAGTGTTAATTGATTATAATCACGGTCTCTGCAGACAGTTGTAATGTCACATTAAGCGGTCAAGGGTCACATTGACTGACTGACGTCTGGTGTCATGTTAATTAAAAGTATACATCTCGGACCGAAAGGATATTGCCACCTAGGATAGTGCCCTAGAAGACCAATCAAAATCGTTACTGCCTAAACCTATAATAGCTTCTTCGTCATACCTACTTGGAATCTAAATCTACTGAAACTTTTTTGTACTGCGTACGCCTATTTCATCGTATTATTATCATGACCAATATCCCCGTGGCCCTTCCGTAGTATTATATTGTGTCGTTTAAATCATAGTTGTACGTATTGCTTAGCCGCTTATTAGGTGTACAGGTATTACATAAGTACATAATATAACACGTGAACGTAATTTATTACCGATTTTACACTGTTTTGAATTTCTCATTCGAGGTTCTAATATTATTACTATTATTATTAGGTATCATAGCTACGGCGGAATGTCGGATAGGTAGGAGGTACCCACGATAATTCGTGTTTCAAGCGTCACGTTTTCGTAGGGAATAGCGTGCGCAAGATTTTTTCTTCGTGATAACCTTTTCCCGTGTACGTAGCGTTTCGGTGTTTTCGCGCCCGGAGCGACAGCCTTTCCGAAAACTACAATAATAATATATAACACCCAATATAATATAGACGAATCAAACTATATATTTTCGTTCCATTCCTGTAGTTTGTGATTGCCGTCTATTTTTCCCGAAAATCCGAGTAGGCCCCCGGGTCATATTAATATATACGTGGCAAACATTATATTATGCCACACATATTATATAAACATTTGAATCTCGCCTTTTTATTGTTTTTTGTTTTTGTTTTTTTTTTTTAAATATAGACTAGGAGAACGGCTTTTGTCGCATAATCTTTTTTCCCAAAATCATAACCTAACACACACACACGAATTTTCACAACGATTAAAGACCGACAGGGGCCTATTTTGTGGAAAAATGCGAAATATCGTTTTTGTCACCATATAACAATATCACTGTTTAATATCTTCAACAGATTGGCACTCAGGTATATACAATACTCGCTTCTATTATTCCGACGGGAATCGATCGTAGTCGTTGTCAGTTATATCAAAACTGTGATCAACAAATTATAACAAACGCGATGAAATGACATACATTAAGAAGTAAAAATTTACCATCTGAAACACATTGTCATAAAATATTATTTGCAAAATCTGTCTACGTGTGAAAATGTGTTTAGAATAATTTTCCTCGACTCCATTATGAACGTGCATTTCTTTCAATACAGAATAAGCATTCTTTAATTTTATTTCATCCGCACGCTGTCTGTGTTGAAATTAGAGATTAAATACAAGTAACAGGTTTAAGAGGATTGTGTGTTCGAAAAACTTTTTCTAATAATGTTACCGTACAAAAAATGTATGTTTGTCGTTTATGTTTTCTTTGAATAATAGGTAGCTGTATTTTTTTTTATTTTATGAACATTTTTTTAATTTGTTTTCGAACTCCGATTTCAACCTAAACGCCACGATTTACGTTCTGAGTAACGTAATTTTTCAATGTCGCCCCCGTTAGTATGGGCGGAAGATGCGGATGAGACGTCCACTACCGTATTAAAATCTACTAACGAAAAAAATTGTTTTTATTTTTGCGATACACAATAGGAACGCGTGACTTTCCAATAAGGAACATCGGACGGCAAGTTCTGCGGTTGCAGCGTAAGCTTTAGCTTTAGCGGGAATATTTTTCAATTTGTAATATTATTTGTTATTGTTATCAGTTTCGTTCGTAATCTCGATTGTAAATACTGAGTACACATCGAAGTACTCGGAGTCAGTGAATTTAACTGTAAGTGAAAACGCGTGTCGGGGCGGTTAAAATAAAAAAAAATCGATCGAAAAATTGCGTATTACGGGAATCGAATACAATAATAATGATATTATCGTGCCGTAATAACGTTTTCTTTTTTTTTTTTTTTTTTTTTTTTTTTAATGGATACAAAAATAAATTATTAAACGTCCCGCCACACAATATATCGTTATCAATTATTAATAATATTGATACGTCATTGGCGGTCGTCATCGACCGGCGCTATAACATTATTATTATCATCGAGCGTGTTTTTAAGTACCTATATTATATTGTTTACCCCGTCATATAGAACCCGTTTCGCGATTAGGTTTTGCCGCAATATAACAAATTATTATTGTCGTCGGTATTACCCCGTCGTCGTTTAAACAAAAAAAACCGATATCCCGCCGATTGACTGCGCAATATTATAATAGGCGCGTAATAAAATAGGTATACTGTGTAACGGCGATCGGTATTTTTTTTTTTTTTTTTTTAGCCGCGTTTAAAACACGTCGCCTACCACGGGACGACACGCGAAAACAAAACAACAAGGAAAAAAAAAACCAATAATAATAATTTAATAGACCGGGTCGACGAGGGAACGGCCAGGGCACTCGGGGGACGCGACACGTGTACACGTATACTGTATACGAATGTAGAACATTAACGGGCCACCGAGGGATGCAAGACGGTGGCGGTTTGTTAATATATTATTACGTTTTTTTCCACGATATTATTATCTTGTTGGAAATTATTGTTCGCTCAATCGCGTGTCGAGAGTGATAAATTAATTCGGTGTTGTTGTTTGTTTTTACTCGTTCTGTGTAATATTATTATACCTGTACGCGCGAATACGACATAATAATATGATAGTATTATGATTTTGTAATTACGTTCGACTTTGTTTTTTCTTTCTTTAGTTTTCTACTACTAAAAAAAGCTGCACAATAGTTACGATGAACATTCTTACTGCGTGAAATTCGTATGCATTTTCACGGAGCCAAAACAATCTTTAATTCAAATCGTTTTAATAATTTACCGGAAGTTTGTTCGGAATCGTTTTTTATTTTTAAGATTTATCTTCGCATATACAATTTTTAAATTTAATATTATCCCAGAATAATATAATAATATATCTTATATCTTAATGAATTTTTATCACATTCTTGTCGAAAATTTTAACTCCCCAATAATATACCTCTCAAATGAGGCTCGCAGGATGACATTTTGGTTTGCGCCTTTATCCCACACACACAGCGTTATAATATTATGTTTATTGTGTTAATATTCACTAAAAAATCTGAGATACCGATTTATTATAGTTTCTATACGTAAAGATAACTTTAGTAAACAATGAAATATGACTTTTAACCCAAAATTAGTATTATTTTAATAAATAACAAACATTTACGAGTGTTTAATAACTAGTGAAAACAAAAAAAAACCGACACGGGTTTTACGTGATTCGAACCTTTAACCAAGTTGTACCCTTATGTCTACTAACCCAACGGCTGTAACCTACCTTTTGTTGACTGTAATAAACGTTGTTTTGCAGGTATATAAAGCGTTATATTCGGTTATAATACATGATAATTATAACTAAGTTTTGTATTCAGTGGCAAATCATGTAGGAGCTTATTAGTTTTCTCCTGCCTCATCCAACGAATTTTTATTGATTTTTCAATAGATCCTATATTTGTATAGTTATTATTAAGCCATCTATGGCATATTTAAAATTATATATTCAATAATGGATTTCTTGATATTAAATTTCATCGTTAGTAATATTTATTTATATTTAGCTAAATATTCTAAACATTTAAACGTAAACTTAAATACAACGTTAATTTAATATTTATCATGGCGCAATATTTATTTCTAGAACAGTATTGTAATATTAATATTTAATTATTTCTTATTTCTAAAAATGTTTCTATAATACAAAATATGTGGGGGGAAATTCGACACTAGTGACGGACATCTGCTTCTTACGATTGTTTTTTTAGATGTTTGTATAAGATTTTGAGGCTAAAAATTATAAAAATAAAATAATAATTGCATTTTTTTGATAAAATGAAATTTGGTAAACAGAGTAGCTACAGTAATTTATAATTATATATTATTACGTTTCATACACGTATATTTGTCAAGAGAGGAACAAAATAAACACTGTTAAATTAAATTTTTATACGGTGTCCAAAGGCATTGTTAAATTGTACACCGCATCAATATATTAGTACACGTTGTATACAAATTCGTAAGAATTTGTTAAATATTATCATATAAAATAATAATTAGATATAAAATGTTTAATTTAATAACGTATTTTTAAAGTCGTATGCAAATTTTGAAGTTTTTTTTATTTTTGTAACTCGAATATTTAATTAGTAGCGTGAACAGTAGTAGCGTAAAATTTCTGTTAGAAAACTTTAGTATAACACAATGAAAACAGTAACACCACGGCGCTTCGTAAATATTTGCCTCGTTTATCTATAATTTTCCAAATGACCTCGCCAATAGACTAGTTATAGAAAATTATCTTTCAGAAAAGGTGCTATAGTCTATACTTCAGAGTGAATTTTGTGGTAGAAAAGTTGTTCACACACAGAAAAAAAAAATTAGATCCATCGCCTACGCTCCTAATCTAAAACAGTTCGCGTAACCATAATGCAGAAAAGTGGAAATCTGGAAATGAATGTTGTATTTTATTTATTTTACTACTTTATCAGTAT